CTCAGGTCCCTTCCAACCCTACAAACTATGAAACCATGAAACTATGAAAGAAACCTGCATCTTATCTCCTTGCTTTTAAAGTAGGGCTGGCCAGGAGAGGGTACCTTGGCACAGCATGGCTGAGGAGTCTTTCCTGTCAGTGGCACATGCTGAAGTATCAAGTTAAGAGTTACTATGTTTACTTTGAATAGTAACTGGTGAAGCTATGATGTCTCAGATGTCAACTTCCTTTTGTTTCTTCTGCCCAAGTAAAATATCCCTTCACTCAGAGATCTGGTGTGTCATAGGACATAGAAGCAGTATGATGTGTTATTCTTAGGGTTGTGAAGATGGTTCTCTGGGGAAAGCTGTTGCAAACAGCAAGGAGTGTGATCTGCTCAAGTAATTGTGTGGGTACTGAGTTGAAGGCAGAATTGTTTCGTGGAAGTGGCTTGGGCTAAGATTCCTGAAAGAATTGCAGGTGCCTGCCTTTGCTTATAGGCTATGCTAAGAACATATCCATACTTCATATGACTGATTTCTCCTCCGGTGCAAAACTGGCATGCTTTTGTTGATATAGCAACATTTGCTGTTGCTTTTCTTTGGGTGACCAAAACTTACCCTCTGTGATTATAATAGCTAGTTTCCAATCAGAGACCATGAAAGGCAGTCTTATGTCTAGAAATCTTTTAATGCGTATGGGACTTTACACTTTCAGTGTAATTCCTAGGACTGCTCTAATGGGCTAAGTGCACCACTAGTGTTGCCAGTTTGGGTTCTTCCTTACTGTTTTTTCAGTACTCTTAAAAGGGATGTTTCTAAAATGGGTATTAGTTTTATTTGTCTGTTTTCATCAGTATTGTCCAGGGTGTGGCTCAGCTATGTCATAATTTGATGAATGCCCATTTATAACCTACCTATTGGGAGAGAGTTACTGGCATACTAGACTGTTTATTACATGCCTGTATTACTTTAGTTCAGTGGAGGTGGTTGAAAGAACAAGCAGCATGGCAACAGTTAAGAACATCTCAACACACAATTTGAAATTGGAGTTGACAGGGTAGATGGAGTTAAATCAAGGTGATTTGAATCAGTGATTTTAAATTGCCAAGTGGAAAACTTAGATATAAATTATGAATTTTTATCAGCCTTTTCATTTGTACTTAGGTTGTTTCCTAAAGAAGGAATGGTTGACAACCATGAAAACATGTAGATTTACAATTAAAGAGATCCTGTACTCTAGGTTTGGTACTGTATTCTAGGTTTGTAGAGGGTGCCCTACAACTATATACATTTATTTAAGCAATTATACAGCTTAATATTATCGGTTTTGTATTAATTATACCGTTCTGTGTGTTAGAAAATGGCAAATGATATATTGCTTATTTACTAGGTAATTAACTTTTTGCTCATGATTTGTGTCAAGCAGCTGCATTAGGCTGTTAACTGGAATTTAATTAAACACACAAAACAGCATATTAAAATATTTTTAGTAAACAAAACAACTCTAAACATTGTGGATACATAAACTTCTACATAAATTTGTGTATTAAATCTATTGGAGCTCAGCTAAGGAAACACTCAGTGGATGATCCTAATAGGTTGGTGTCAAAAAATGGGGAGAATTATAATTCTAGAGACTTAGTGGGGGTATAGGAAGCAAAGAGTTTACCTGGAAGATGATTAGATACCAGGTATATGTGTATAAATACACATGTAGTTGTGTATATTGCCTATTTATTATTTTAAGGTCCATCTTTTCCTGAAGTGCTCTTGTTCTAGATCAGTGATTTTTTTTCCACCAGGATGCCTTGTGATCTTTTTAAGCTAGGTACGGACTTTCAAAACGCCCAAGGCAGAATTGATCTAAGTTACGTGGTTTTCTGCAAGCAGCATAGTTTAGCTTGGAGCAAACAGAACACACGTTTGCCCTTTGGTGCAAGATGCAAATCTTAGACCAGGTTCTGCCATTTTTAAACCAGCCTGTGTGCACTGGGCTTCTGTTCCGTTATCGTTATAGACCAGTTTTGGATTACTTATACTAGTAAAAGTGCAATGTCTGTACCTGGCCTTAAAGGTGCTGCAGGGCGCCACAGAATGCTAGCAGTTTTAGGTCTGCAAACATGATAAACCCAGTTATTTCCAATAGAAATCCACAGTGTTAAAACCATTCTGACCTCTTGTTGTCTTCTGAGTTGTTTGCAACAGAAGAATTGCTCTGTTATCTTTCTGCACTCATAAATTGAGTGAAAACTAAGCGGTGACATTTTCCAAAGGACGTCTTGAATCTATCAAGGGTGCTTTGAATTTATCATGGGGTGTCTTGAGTCTAAACAGGCTGCTCTAGATAAATATGACCTTTTGTAAATAAAGTGTTGGACTTACTAGATACCACTATTATTGAGAGGGGAAGAAAAAAAACAGCAGGTGCTAAAAATAATTCAGGCTCCCTGAAGTAGACATAGTTAATTAGAATGTACTAGAGCTTAGAGCTGAGTTCGAGTTGGAGAGTCGTGTGATTTAACCCTGAGACTGATGATGACTGAAGGAGAAGAGGATGAAAGAAGGCTAGAGGGATGGTAACTCTAGCCAGTCTTGCTTCCTAAGCACAATGTTGGCACCTGTTCTTAGTGCAGTTTATAAGAATTGAGCACTGAATGGATAATCTTACCAAAAAACACATTAGCTTCTGATATGGGTGCACAAAGCCATACTGGGATCTCAACATAGTGCTGCCCTTGGCACAAAGGGACACTGAAGTCATCCTGTTCCAAGAGGAGTTGGTCTTTTCATGTTGGTTAGAAATGCTTTGCAACTTCCATCCAGGGTGAAGGCCACTGAGAGGGGCAGTGTTGGGAGCACAGAGACTCATGATATTCCCCCTACAGGAAGGAAGGAAAATCATAGAGGTTACTTCATAACAGGAAGGGGGAAGGAGATGGACCAGAAATTATTCTAGAGGTAATATGCAACAGCAGTGACCATGGCAAAAAAATTAGATGCACCTAAGTGGATGGGGGTATGTCCTCTTGCCCGTGTTACTTCTGTTGTCATTTCTCCCTAACAGGATTTCAGCATGGCTCTAGCTATGTGTAGGGGGTCTAACAAACCTGAGGTGGCTGCCACCCAATTTCGTATGCAGATCATAGGGCAGTGCTATGTCACTGCCCCTTGTCACTGATTGGCTGTGAGGGCTGTCCATCATGCAGCCATTCCCCTTTCTGCCAATTGGTGGAGAGGGGCGGGGTTATATGATGGAGAGCCCTCATAGTCGATCAGTGGTGAAATGCAGGGGCGGGGCAGCTATCTTGCCTTGCTGGCAGCCCCTTCTCCCTTCCCTCCAGGCTGCAGTGGCCATGAGGACTGCTGGCTCTCCAGAGGGAGCCAGCATTTTATTTTTGGTAAGCTTTTTTTTAATTCTTTTTATTTTGGGGAGCTCACACTTTTTCACAGAGCTTGCCTGAAATCGCAGTTTCCATGAAAATGGCAAAATCATATCGTGATTTCAGTAGGTCCCTAGCTATGAACAGTTGGTTTCACTTCACCAGTGAATGCTGTTTTGAGGGAACAACTGGGAATTCTCTCTCTCTTTTTCTCTCTGTGTTCTTTGTCTTGAAGACCAAGTGAGTGTTACTATGAGTAGAGAGAACCCAGGTAGAGAGAACTCAGCTTACTAGCGAAGAGGGACAGTGAGGAACTGGAGGGAATGCTAGCTCTATGGCTTGAGATTAGAGGACACGCACAGTGAAATAAGAATTAGGTCCTTAATGCAGGACCTCCAACTTCAGATGGGAGACTTGATAAGTGTGAAAGTACTGAGATGTCTAAATGAAATGTGACATGTTCAGTTTCCAGCCTATGTCTAGGAACGCAGCAGTGGCAAATGAGATATTTTTACTGACTTTGAGTTCTTTCCTGATAACTTAAAAAGTCAACAGGTATATTAGAATGTTATTTTTTTTAGTTGTGTTGCTAGGTATATGATGATGATTGCATTTGTGTAGTAAATTTGAGCCTTGTAAGATACATAATTATGAAAGTGGATAAAATATATGCTGATTTATAAAGTTCCAAAGGATGATTGCACTTTCAGCTCATGTCACCTTCAGATTACTTTATTGTTTTTTGCTGTCCTGCAGGTGGACTTCCTTGTCGGCATGTTGCTCAC